CCGTTAAGTTGTGATGTGGAGTTGCGACTGATCAGACTTGCTCCACACATCCTCCAAAACTCTGTCAATGGGTCATGGTTTGTCGGCCCTGCACAATCCTTGTCCTTTCAGAGATGTTCCGACCAAGCACTGTCCAACCCAGTCAATAGTTTGGCTCTTTGTCAAAGATGCTCAAGGCTTTAAATCTGCCCATTTCTCCCGCATCCCACACAATGATTACTGGTCACTAACCATCTAATGTATTCCAGTGCCTGACTTGTTTTGAGATAACCAACATTTTTGCTTCACTTGTGAGTGGTCAAAATGTTTTGGCTCATAAATTAATAACGTGTTTACAATCTGTCAATGAGAAATAAATATGTCAATTTAAACCAGAAAGTAAAGCATAATTACAATAAACCACTGACATGCTGCACACAGAGAAGCAATGATAGTCTATACATCCCAGATTTCCTATTTAGTGGGCTGTGGATTGAAGCCCTGGGTGGCAAAAACCACACGTTAAAGCACTAAGATCCCAAGTATAGCTCCATAACAGGTCACTATGTTCTAAAACCTGTTTTGATACACATAAGCTAAATATCACATCTTTCTACCTTTTGGTTTAACTTTCAAAAGTCAAAGTAGCATGCCTTTGTCTAGTAGGTGATAGGTTTAGCAATGGAATAATTTGTGTTTCTCTGAGAAGTCTTCAAGAAGGGGTTTCCTAATTCACATGTATTACCCATTATTTAGGAGCAATGAGGTTTGGTGGTGTAAAGCCCTAAAAATAGTTTGGAAGGAATCTAGCAGAAGAAAGGCCCTAGTAGGACCATATGCCAAACCAACAAGTCTCAGAGGCACCTCCCCAAATCATCTTGAGGCAATGCATCAATCAGAACCTCCACATCAGTGGCAAATGCACTCAGCAGCCATAAAACTCCCAGATCAAGCAGTGAGCTGAGCCAAAACCAGAAAGGCTCTCCTCAGTAAACCCAAGTCCTTATCTTTGTCTCGTAAAAAATAAAGAGTGTCTGAGAGTGTTATGATCCACTGTAACTGCTGTCCAGCCAGTTCCTTTCTGTCGTTGCTAATCACACCTCATCTTCAACATCTGGAGCAGTTTACCAAGTTGTCAAGAAGAAACAAAATGTGCTTGTAATTTTGCAACATTACATCAAGTTTTGCTGTTAGGTCTTTCATTAAGGAAGTGTAATCAAGTAATAAATGCAACCTTGTTCATCTTTGTTACTGCTACAACTCACTACAAATATATCAACAAATCTCTTAAATAAAGACATACAATAAATTATATCTACCACTAAAGGTTTTATCCAACTCCTCATTATAGGGCGAAGTTTTGAGGCATTAATGCTTTGAACCTAAAGCTTTGCATTGCATAACAGAGTTTGTGTGTTATCAGTTAATAGACACATAATGACACAAATCTATTTAATACTTCTTTTTTTTTTTTTTTTTTAAACTGACCTGGATAGTCCAGAATATATTGGACAGCTTGGTGTGAAGCTGTCAGAACAGGACATGAACATCTTCCATGAGGCAAATAGGATACTAGCTGGACACCTAATGAGCTGCAGTAATAACTCCAGTGTCCATAGTGGACAGATTTCTAAAACATTGCATTATCCTGCGTAGGCCTTGGCATTTTCAGATCATTCTTTAATTTAGAGTGGGCACACCTCAAAAAGTGCACCTTTACAAAAAAAAAAAAAAAAAAAACAGGAGTTAAGGCTGACTACTACAACACCCTTTCATCTATACGACCAATCTCCTGTTACATACAGTGAACTCTTTAGAATGGACCAGGGCTAGGTCAGATTTTATATATAGTCCACACACACTAATAATTCAACTCCCTAGTGAACTACAAGCATTTTATTTTTACGCACAATCTGTAAATTAAACAAATATGATAGTGATTTAAAAATAGAGCTGCGTACTAAAGAACACGTGTAGATTTCTAAGTCTGCTGCAGAACACCATGTGATTTTAGGACACAATAACACACATATAAAATCTAATGCATTTTGTTTGTAAATGACCTCCAGTTTGTAAAATTAATGTCAAAAACAAGTTGACAACGTTTTTTCTATTACCATACTTTCTGCACTACAAGTCCTCATTACAGCTTATTTTAAGCAATTACACTGTCAGCAGGAGCTGTAATCTCCAACTGCTGCTAAACGCCCAAATTTCCACATTTGCTGGAAACTATAATTGTGAGCTGCTCTTGGTGTTTTGCAGATGGGCCCTATTGAGCAATCTGAATATCCCTAATATTACCCAGTTCCTCTCCAGGGGAAACACGAACATTTAAAAGGTCCAAATAATTCCGGTCAAATTACACAGCCCTTAATGAACTTCAAAAGATGTGCGGATGTTTTTACAGGCCAGTGCTCAGGCTTTAACAGTAATTATGAAAACAAACCATATTAATGATATCATTTATCATTTCCACACTTTGGTCAAATGCGGTCTACCACAAAGTTCCTGTCTCTACTGGACAAAAAACACACTAGTAATCTACTAAACTTAACAAGTAAGATTTTCCATTCACAGATCAACTTTTTTGTTCTTTTAAAAATCCTGTGGGCCATCCTAAATCACATGAGGGCTTCAGGGAGAACTGTCATGGCCCAAGGGTTGCATGCACCTCTGTCAACCTTGCTGTACCCCTACCAGAATCTGATTAAACCTGAGCCAGGTCCTATATTCTATATGAACATGATAGCAAACTTTCACAGAAGTACAAACTCTTTCTGTGGGACTGATATGACAAAAGCCTACCTACAAACCTTTTAACTTCAATCAAGAAAACTCTCTCTGGGCTGAGCAAAGCGGGGAACTGCCACAAAGAGAGAAGACAAGGCAAATATTGCTATTTTTTTAATGTTCTAGTAACACTGAAAGTGTAATAAAGATGAAATTAATGTAATAATAGGAAGAGGCAAGTTACCAAATTACACAAATCTAAAGCATATAAAGGAAACTGGCTTCATTTTCTTGGCTTCAGAACACAGTAGTCAGCCTCCTGTCTCCCACTAGCATAGTAGAGAAGTGTAGTGGCTCATTTAAATTCCACATGCTAGAAGGATTTCTGCTGTAAGTCTGGCTTTACTCCAAATTATGTCTCTTGGGTGTACATACCACTGAATAATTTGTCCAAATGTCATTTGCAATTCCCCCAAAATCTTTTCTTCACTGGAAGCCTTTTAGAAAACATCTGTAACAAATAGTTGTTTTGAGACTGCATGTACTACACCAGGACCAGTACTGGTACGTGACCTTAAGCTGTGTATGAAGCATAAAAAACTAGTATAAATTTCCACTGAACTAGAAACCTGATCGTACGAGCAGTAGCCACCTGCATAGTATGATATTTACCATTAGTTCTGGGCAGCTCAAACTCATGTGTTACAAATCTTTTTGCCGCAGTCTATATAATTAGCTGTAATTGACTTCCCTTGAAATGTGTTTCTTCTGGGACATCTGGCCTTGAAACTTCAACCTTGCCATAAAGGGCCAGCACTGAGCTACAATTTCAATTTTGCAAACTGCATGGGTGGCAAACATGGGACCAGGTTCTTCAGCAAAAACAAATCTAAGAAAAATGTCTTTCATATACCACACTTCAAAAATAAAAATATTTGTAACTAAAATAAATACAATAACATTAATATTTCTCTTGGGATAACTGCTCTCAGATTTTTATCCGTAATGCAAAGCCAAGCCTAGAGTGAAATTTCTTACTGATATTATTGGTAATATTCTACTGATTGCAAAGACAAAATCAAAAAGTTGTACAGTATACATTTCACAACCCAATCTGACAAAAGATAATGTGATTCTAAATCGTGTTCATGTAAAGTACTGTTCACTGCTTGGAATTTAAATTAAACAGAGCTCAATGACACGCTACAGATTGCGATAGCCAAATAGTAAATAGCACTGGTCAGATTTAGTAAAGTCACCTCTCAGTTTTGAATTCCTTAAATATTTCTTGTCAGTGGTCAATGAAGCTGTCTCTCTTTTTAAAGAACAAATGTGCTGAGTGAGAGTGCTGTGCTCTGCTGAGAAAAATTATAATGGCAAAGAAGAAACATTTTTTAAATGACAAAAAGATGGGGAAAACAATAGCTGATATATTCTTTATGCTGGAATCCATCTGTTAGAAAAAACAAAAGCAGATGTATCGCTTGATAAATTTAAAGAGATTTGCCAATAGTTAATTCTAGTAGTTTGGATGAAAACACACTTTCATCCAAAGATTCAGAAATGCACTTCTTAGTGCAGTCATTACAGCACTTGCCAAAGTACTGTTTGTCCAGAAACTTTTGAGAATCTAAATCACCATTTGAGAAGGCACAAATTCCTCATTTTATCTCAATGAGGCAGCAACTTATTTGCTTCTGGTTCTTTGTTTGCTGTACTATTTCTTTCTATGCATTTCTCACAAGAGTAATTATGCTAGACGAGTCAGAAAAAAGCAACTGCTACTTAGCTGTGCCAAATTAATGTTTTAAGTGATTCCTATGAAGTGCCTTACCACACTGTAGCCAAATTGGGATAGTATGGTTACATTCTGTTGTTGGCAAGCATAGCTTCAATAAATAATAGTGTACAACAACCTCTTCCAACTGCACTTGTATTTATTTCTAGTAACACCTTATAACTCGGAATACACTGAAAATGAAATGCTATTTTGTAGGTTCTCCTCTTGTGATTTTACATTAAATCAAAGCTAAAGGATGCCACAGCAACTGCATCACAGGGTGAAGCCTGTTGGGGTTAAAGCGTCTTTTTAAAAAATCAGCATTTGTTTATTTTAAACAAAGCCATTACAAAACTTCTTGGAAACACAGAGAGAAAAAGGAATGAGAAAGCTTAACTTTGGCATGAAGAGGACTTTCACATAAATAACAAGAAGATCTGGCCAGCCCTGTTTTGGCCCTGTTTTAGAGTCAAGAATAACATGTTTCTCATACCAGTAGAGAACTAACCTGGGACCCATCTCTTAGCTTGAGGATGCACTCCATGGTGTTGATGGTGATGACTACAGGCTCCGAGCCCAGCTTGGTCCAAGGTACATGGATACGTAGCTCATGGATATGACCACTCATGAATGTAAAGGGCAGCTTCAACTCCTATAAATATGCAAAGACATATAAAGTTGAAAAAACAACTAGCTAAAACTACATCTACAATAATATGTACCAGAGAATAACATCATTATTGCAGACAGTGTTGTACAGGCATGACTGCAGAGCCTTCAAGAGCATTTGCCCGCTTCATCCATCCGTTTTCTGAACAGTTCTTTGAAAGTAATTTTTGAAGACAAGTGGATAGTCTTCAAAAACAACAGTTACAGATTACATACTGGTCACACTTCTTACAAAATAAGTCAGATTTTCTCAGAAGTAGCTGAAAAACTGTTCTGCATCTTGAACTACTCTGTCTGAGAACGAGTCCCATGAAACCAGACTGCCTACACAGAGGCCTCACATGCCTCCTCTAGAAGTCGAAGCCAAAAAATTAATAACCAAACATATTTCTGGGGAAAAACTGTCATGGATTTACAGTATGTCTGCTCAATAACCCCCAGAATGTTTTGCTACAATTTAATCTTTACATTAAAAAGGCAAGCTTGGATTGCACATTCTAAAACAGGTACTGTCCAAATGAAATAGAATAAAACAAGGGCAAGGGTAGGACAGCTTTCAACGTTTTGACATAGTAGTACATACAAATTTCAATTCTAACACAATTTCGACTGTCAGTTGGTTTAAAGCTGCTTCCAATAAGACCTTTCATCACAATCTCCGTTGGGTAAGGTAGTGTTTTGGTCTGCTCTTCAGAAGCAGTCAGAACCCACTCAAAAGAGAAGAAAATCCTCTTAACTCAAGGCAGATTGATCTAATCCAGACATTACAAGTGTAAAAAGAACACTGTGTCAAAATAACACAGCAAAGCAAAATATGAGAGTAAATCTATCAAACTTTCTTCAAAAGGACAATAAAGATATTGTATTTGTGCCAGAGTGAATAGTACTGCTGCATTTTTTTCTGATTTCTAGTCAAGGCAATGCATTGTAACCAAGATGCAGCCAAAAACAAAAAAATACACCACTGGGGCATATGTTTGCCCTACGCTCATTAATTTCAATCCAAACCTCTTGCTTTATTTTATAATGTAATGAACTGAAGTCCCTTCTCTGCTGAAAGATCGAAATACTATCATTACCCATTTTAAAATGTTATACTGGCCATGAATAGCTTGGCTGTATCTTGCATGTACCTGCCTTACTAGTGTTTATTAACAAAATCAGTAAACTAAAGTGCAGTAAAGCACAGAACTCACAAAAGCACACTTTAATAAATTACAGTAAAAGCTAGGAGGTAAAATTCTAAAATATTTTTACTTACATCTTGAGGAAATAGATGTTTATTATTAGAAACCTCTCACGCTATCAATAAACATTGAAACGCATATACTGACCAAAGCAATATGGATCATGAAATGTGTATTTGAAAACAATGTTTTTTCCCACTAGCAGCCCAGAGCACTAGCTCTGGTATTTCTCCAAACAAGATAACCACATTATCTATTTATGAAAGAGTGACTATACTATGTCTACAATCCCATAAGTGTGGTTTTGGTCATACAGAAACAGGTTCAACACTGTAAAGTTACATTTAGCATGCACAGTACCTGTTCCAGTACATCCAGCTTCAGGTCCAACTTGCTGAGCACCACATCCCCTCCCCAAAGAGAGAGCTGCAGGTCAGACGGCTTCAGATTCTTAATGTACTTGTTCACATAGCTCATCAGGAGCGGGGTCACATAAGACTCCAGCATCTTTGCCCTGTCCTGAACACATATTAACCATTAAAAAAAAAACAAGGACATGTCATTCAAAATTTCAGTTTTTTGTTTGTTTGTTTGTTAATTACAGTGTGAATCATATACTTTTTTAATACAACTAGTGCTGAAGCCTATACCAGAAAACACGCATTTTCAAGAGTTTTTTTTTTTTTTGATACATGATACCAAATACGTACATGTTTATGAGCAACTTTAATGATGGCTGCATTCAATTCAGGTGTGCCACTTATAAAGTAGCAGCACAGTGCACATCAGCTCATAGGAATGCTTCATATGCACACCTGAATTGAACTGAGCCATGATTAACAATATCAAGTACACCTGTGCTTCTCCTGTTATGACAAGTCAACACATCTGTTTGAAAAAGGCCTATTATAAGCTCATATTCTAATAATAATATGCTAAATGTGAGGTATACTGACTCCTTCACAGTAGTTCCAAGTTGAAATTCAGCCCTACATGTTCCTATTGTGTACACATTGATGTGGCTGTAACCACTAAGCCAGAGACCAGGCTCCTTGACTGGCACTCTGTAAACAGGTTCTAAAAAGTCCTTTTTATTATTACATGTATATTTACAAGCTAACTAAAACGTATATGGGTAGCTGAAATACATTTGGTTGATATGTACACTTAACAGAGGCAGAGCAATAATTCTGTTCGGCTGCCTTTCTGGTCAAGCTTTAATTAACCTTCCTATTAGTCATACACATTAAGTAATTTTACTTTTTAGTAGCTTTATGTTCATTTAAATTCAACGTGGTGACTGAATTAGCCTGCTTGCTAATGTGGCTTCATTTTTAGTGAACGCTACCAGAAGGGAAACGTCAGCAGTGATTAGCAACTCCATAGCAGCTTTATTAAAACTAACTTTACTATCGAAGCAATATCGTGCTGCGTACTAAGACGTGTAACTTATTGTAAAGCAGTTAGCGAGAGATGCTAGCTGGGCTCTGCTGTCAATACAGCTACACACCACAGGAGCAGAGCAAAGAAGCTAAGCTACATGCTCGGAAGAAGTTGCCCTAACTTCGTTTCAGCTGGCTACACTTGGCGGCCGCGAGTAAAATAGAAAAAACCCTTCCTTACTTGATTCCCGCTTGTGTCCTGTAGCAATTTGCTGAATTTAGTGTTTAATAAAGCATGTTCATCCCGTTATCTGACGTTAGCCATTTCTCTCAGCAGCTATAGCCTAAACGTCATCAGTAAACACCGACGCGGCTTCCGTATGAGTGGTGTTGCGTTTTTACCCGTAGGAAATTTGCCTTTCAACGTTCACTTTCCATACACAGTTCAAAACACCAGCATTTCCCCATGACATGTGACCGATTGACACAGATTTGCTTCGTCTTCGGTTACTGCACCGCCAACTGCTTTAATTTCAATGATTTAAACGGCTTTGGTGTTTATTAGTATCTCTAAACTGACAGAGGATGTTGTCGCAACTCGCCGCTCAACGTGAAAAAAAGGCATTACGAGGAGCACCAGAAGGCTTCACTTGATTTCGTCACGCCCCTGTGTCCTTATTTGGCCGTGGAAGCTCACCTTTGCAGAGAAAGTTGGCTAACCTACAGAATGAACCTCACAATGAAGCTCCTCCATGTAGTCAGTGTGTGGACAACAACTTGGTGAAATTATTAAATATTTTAAAACAATCGGCAATGTCATACATTAATCCGGCTACATTTCGGATAAAGACTATCCCTTCAGATAGATGTGACCGAGATTTAAGCAAAAGTCAATGGAAGTAAATAATGGGAACTATAATAAAATTATTTTTGTATTTCTGGCACACTGATGACCTATCTGGATATTAACATCTTATCAGAGACGTCTACTAATATCAAATAGGCCTACAGAAGACTTGCCATTGTAATATGTACATATTCAGTTGAAAACTCACTGAAATGTACAGGTGTTATTAAAATGATGACTAAATTAATGTAGCCATACTGGATATTAAAATGCAGAGGCAAATAACGAGGACAGTAAATGCTAAAGAAGTAAAAGGTGAAAAACTAGTTTCCTACATGAGTGCAATGTTGTTTTAGGACCACTTGCTACCGTCGAATCATAAACATGTGTTAACCTAATTAGACCAGCAGCTTACAGAATAGGAAGTTATTAAAAAAACAAAAAACAGAGTTACAATTCATCTTTATTTCACAATCAAACTTAGATACAATAGTATTTTCTGCATCCAAGTGCTTCTTTGACTCTGTATGTCTAATATATCCATCTTAACGCATTTGTATCTGTAGTTGGAATGTAATAGTGTTGCCATAGTCTTTTTTTATTATGCTGTAATTAGTACTGGTGGTCGCCCAAAGTCACAAGCTGCTAAATAAATGATTCTGAAGTTTGGAAAATAATAAAATCCTATTTTGTTCTAGGTATACTTCAAACAGTATGATTCAAGCTGATTTTAAAATATATATTTCAATTTATTTATTTTTAATAAGATAGTTTTGCTTGTTTGTTTGTTTGTTTGCTTTAGATTTAGCCATGATCTGTTCAGTGTGGCTGTTTATCTGTCCCAGGCTGAGTGGGGTCATACAGAGATATGAAGCCGGAGCAGCGGAGCCCGGTGGCCTGCAGGCAGCGCAGCCTCTCCCCTGTCAGCCAGATAAAGCTTCCTGAGGACACAGTCCACGCAGGCCGGTCACGGATGACGTTCGCCCTGTGACTGTCCACTCTTTGGCAGTCGTGCGTGCGTGCGTCAGCGTGTTCAGATGAGCACTCAGTTGTTGTTACTATTCTGAAGTGAACCAAGATGTTCCCAAGGAACGACCAAAGTATTTGAGATCATGTTGTCACACTTTCTCTGAAGATCCACAGAGTCCTAGAGTCCACTGAGTTTATTCAGTTAATTGTACTTAGACAATCGGGCTAAAACTGGCGTTTTAAAGCGGGAACAAACACAGCAGGTCTATCACCGGGTGTATTTGTGTTTTTAAAGCCAGTGATAAATCAGCAAATGAACGCTCTGTTGTTGTTCTGTTTGAATAATGTGATCCCTGTGGACAGATGCAATTAGTGGTGTTCTCCTCCACGACAGTATTTCCATTTAGACTGCCTAACAGATTCACCTCAGGTGAAAATTATGTTTTCTGAACATTTGCCAGCTTCCCATCGATCACAGTCTCAACAAATTAAAATTCAAACTAACCCGAAAAATATTTTTTTGAAAAACTAAAAGACTTGTACGTGTTCAAAGATCCACCTTTTTTCCCCAATGTGCAGGACTCCAATATGCAAAATATATATGCTGTTTTATTTTTAGGCAATATTTTTTCCCCTAACATAACTGCATACAAGCTACTATTAGCCGCTCTCAGTATCATACTATAAAATCATATTTACACTTTAGAATCGTTTTGTTTATTTCAGTTGATTAGAAAGGTTAAACTGAACGAAATAATTGATTACTGGTTCATACAGCCTTAAATCAAACGCTGTGAAACAATGAATTGCAGCTTTATTTAAACGTTATTACAAATAAAATTAGAAACCAACATTCTCGTTATCATTATTATTCTTATTATTATTTTTATTGTTGTTGTTATTATCATTATTCATTATAGTTATTAGTAGCAGTAGTGTTGGTAGTGATGATTATAACAACAACAATAATAATAATACATATAGTCGTAATCGTTTTATATTTGCATCGTTTGTAAGCTTTACTTTGTTTACATTGTATTAATTATTGATATACGTGTGTATTTGTGAAGCATCTCACTTGTTTCTGTGAATATGAGCTCACTGCACATTGCTGCCTTCCCATTTAGAAAAGATTTAGGAACCTCCAGCCTACAGAGCGTAATAAAGCGGGCCTTGGTTAATGGCCTTTCAGCAGCAATGAACGCCGTTTTAAATCTTCACTTGTTATACGCGCACTTGTTCCAGATCCAATTTTCGAGCCCATTAGAAATGAATGCTATTTTTCAAGCAATTAATTGCACTATCAGGTGAAAATCAAGGTTTAGACAAGTCATCTGGCTGTTGAAATCCAGGAACATCGGGCCTGAAGGCCAAGTAACGCAGACAGACAGAGAAGAGGAGGCAGGCATGGGGAGAGAATCTTCCCTCGAATAAATATAATATCAATAATAATAGAAGATTATAGATCGGATTATTCTGTGAAACGCCGTAGCTCTGGTGGTTAATCAGTGGCCGGTCAAAGTTTAGTTGGACAAAATCCCAATCCTGGTGTATGGCCCACACGCAGCTCTCTGTCCTGATCTACTGTATGTGAAGGCTCTGAACTGCGGCGTCCGACGCGCTCAACGTCTCCTCTGAACTTATCAGGCTGCATGATAATTATATTCTATAAACTATTCATTTAAACAACGACTTCATTACACTATAGCTCACACAGATCAACATTTGGACGTGGAGAGTGGAGCTGGGACACATTCCACCACCTGAGCGACACTGAGGCTCTTATAAATTCTGAATATGCTCAATAATAACTGGTAGCAGGTGAACGTACATCTAGCAGCACTGAAGCATTTCCCCCCGTATGATCTGTCATCACTCACATCACTACTCACTATGCGCTCATTTGTGTTAAAATGCTTTAAGGCGCTGGGGACTCCTTCAGCTGCTCTGTAGGTCAGTCATGATATCAGAGGTGATGCAGATAAAGACGTGCGATATGGCCGCTAATAATGGACTTAATTATTCAGAGCCTCGTAAAAACACTAATGGGAAGCTGGAAGAAAATGCTGCATGGGCTAATCCTTCTTTGTCGTCGTTTTATTTCTCTAAAATCATTTTATTTCTCACACATATGATTCTCTTTATTACATTATCTGCTCGTCTGAGAGCGTTAAACAGCCAAACACGTCCCCAGGACTCGTTTCTGGTCATGTCATGCTCCCTGCTAACTGATATCTGCGGATCTACTGTAAAAAGTCCAACAAGTCAGCCACATAAGCCCTCGCTGCCTGTTGGCTGTAAACATACAGTCTATTAACTTGATGGCCATGGTAAATGGTTTCTTCTAAATATTGCTTATGGGCTGTAACATCGTGGCTCGTGTTTCGTGTCAAACAAATATGAAACAAAAAATAAATAAAATAAAAAACAGACCAAATGCAAATATATCATGAAATATTTATTTCTAAAATACAATTGAACATACTTTAAACTTATGACTGTTTTTTTGACAACCTTATCATTTCAAGGACAGAGAAGAAAATAAAAAAACAAACATTATGTACATGGTCTTGATATTTACAGGTGGTGTGAAAACTGGACATGGCTCCGCTGCTGTTCCATTTGAGGTGCAACCAAATTCCACTGTAAAAATGCGCTGCAGTAAACGTGTCCTGATTTGAAGAATGTCTTTGAACAAAAAATAAAAAGCAAAAAACAAACAAAAAAACAAAAAAAAGTCGCTGATTTGTCTTTTTGTGTTTTGTCCATTGTTATTTTGTTAGTCTGTCCAGGCTAGTAGTCCTGATGTGGGCTGTGCGTCAAACTGTGCCGTCGCAAGTCACAGTTGCGCCGAAACACCTTTCCGCAGCGGCCACAGCTGTAGGGCTTGATGTCTGTATGGGTGAGAAGGTGAGTTTTCAGGTTACTTCTTTGATTAAAGGTTCTTCCGCATGTGGGGCATTTGTGGGGAGACTCCTGTTTAGATTTAAAGCAAGCAAAGGATTATTCCCTTTAATTGTATAGAACGTCTATCAGTTATATCTTTCAATCATCTAAATAAACTGCTGCGTCACTTCCAACTCACTAATTTGCACAGTAATTTTTAAGCAACTTTTATGAGTATCTCTCGCATATTTATTAATTAAAAAATAAATAAAAAATGGTACTAGGCCAAACGCAACCGCTTTGTGAAACCTTTAATATCCCCATGCATGCAGCAGACAGTGCACAACAGGTGAATTCTGATCATAACGTATCACACAGTTAAGGTCATGGTTACTGTGAAAATTCTGAGCTTACCTGCATGTGTAAGGTTTTATGGACGGCTAGAGTTCGAGACTGACAGAATCCTTTCCCACATTCTTGACATTTGAATGGTTTTTCCTTGGAGTGGATGTATCTGTAAAACAGAAATGACACTTAATCAATGTCTGCTCATGCGTGGATTTGCTTGTAGGTATTACAAACCCCACAAGGCAGAACAAAAAAGAAAGAAAAAAAGAAAAGAAAAGAAAAAAAAAACTTCACTGTGCAAGTTTTGAAT